AAAAAGATCAGATCTCTTATGAACTCTCAAAATTGGATTGAACATTAGTGAATGAATCAAAATTATTATAGTTATAAACATTTTGGAGACAGTACTCATATAAGCACGCCATGGCTCAATATAGGCCATTAAACCTTTCAATGAATAGCACAATATTTTTAGCCATTCCTGGTCATCCCTACGTGGAAATCGAAAAAATAAAATGTTGCAGAAGCAAGTCACAAGAGAATTGCTACCTCACTATTCCATATAGCGTTGAGCACGGAAACCGCATTTGTATGGTGATGTATGAAGACCGGCAGTATCATTTCGATGAATTTTTGACGAAGATCCGTGACAGGTGGCTGAAATTAGTGGTATCACAACAAAACAACTGTTTTAACGACCTTTCAACCCACCGGTATTTGGAACAATGCGAGCAATACCACATCAGGCCATTTTTCAAGTGCACTGTGCAGAAGTCGAATGGCAGCCGTCTGCACATTTTGCTCGCCAGCCATTGTTAATAGCAGCTCTGTTAATTCCACACAGCACCTAAAATGCAACCGATGGATTTACCTGATATACCCTAAAACTTTTTAACTTACCAAGACGCTAAAAGCCGATCACTTTCATCTGGAGTGCTTTTCAGCGTACCTGTGGGCACGGATCTATGAGGATAGTCGGCTATGCAAAATACATCTGGATTTTCTAGCATAGACGATATTAATGATAATTGGGCTTCCCTGGAGTGCAGACAATTATCCTAAGGCTTACTTATGTAAACTTCGTACCTGCACCGCCATTTTGTATAAAGCTTTGCTATTGGAAAAGGCTTATCCCTGAGTCCTGTTTTCAACGCATCAATGAGAGTAATTAGAGACTGTCTTCGTGTAACTAGCATTTGTACATCATCCAATCGATCGAATACTTCGTACCAGTCCAAATTTGGATTCTGGAAAAATTATCAATTAAAGAGTCGGAATAAGTAACGCTAAGTTGCATCACCATTTCATTGATGACAGACGCGAAAACTTTCCCATTCCACGGTGGGTCTTCCGATACATCCAATTCGGAAACGCCTGGTCCAGCTCTGTAACGAAGTACCCAAAAATATTTCTTCTCTGTTTCTCAAGATATATTTTGGAAAAAGAAATTGTATGCGTGCGATAGCAAGATTTCATTTTTGACACAACCTCAATACTATTAATGGCTGTATTATTTCGTGCAACCCTTTTTTTGGAGTTACCTTCATGTGCCAGGAACATTTATCGCAGTAAAACTTTTTGTTCTTACTTTGTTGGAAAACCTGGATTTATGAACATATTCTACAAGGAAGGCTTTCACAGTTTTGATGATTCCATGTAATAAGCAGAGGAACGACTCTGTGCGTGATATCAGAATAGAGAGCAGCCTTCTATGAGATCTTTTTACATAGTGGCGTTCTAGTTATAGTCTGCTTTAACGGGGATGGGCCATGTAATTCCCCGCAATGAGGCGTCCAAGAGCGCGGCATTCGCAATGCCTCTTCTACCCGCAGCGCAAAAAAATTAAAACAGACTATACATGGAAAAACGGCTAATTCCGCTAAAAAAAACTGCTCTTCAAATCAGATCAAAAATACAACTACGAAACTTAACGCAAAACATATATGCGATAGGGTGAGATCGGATAATCCTCCCTTTTCTCCGGGAAAGGGGACACGTTAACTCCATTTTGGACCAAGCGAAAGGTGGTGCTTCGTTTGAGGCGGGAAAACACAATCTTATATGCCTATTCGCACGTCCTCCATCGAATACAAGGACATAGGATTATGATAAACGATGATAAATATTCACATTTTCAAAGTATTTGCAGTGTTATAGTGTGATTGTGTAAACAAATTATACTTAAAGAAGGTATTTTGAAGAAAGTTCATAAAGATATTTATTGTTTCAAATAGTGCTGTCACATGATAGGATTTGATTTCAATTGATATTTCCCTTGGACCAATCGCGCTGTTATGGTTGGAGTCAAATGCGAGAGTATACATTAGAATGAGGAAAATCCCATTTTTCGACTAAAAAATATGTAATACTTTACGTTTTTTGCCACAAAATTCTAAGACTGTGTGTAAGGGAAAGAAGGACAAAAATTTTAGAAATTCATTTCCAAGAGTGCAAAAAAAACTTGGTGACATTTTGTGCAGAAACAATTTAAAAATATTTTT